AAGTGGATTTATTAGATGGATTTACATGATTCAGGTTAGGTTGTCCAACAGTGGCCATCTATATAGAGGAGAGGCTGAGAGGCAACAACTCCTTAGTCCAGGAGGCGGGACATGCCAACAGTCCCGATCTGGAGTTAAAGATCTGGAGGAATCTGGAGAACCATCGGCCTTTGACCCACATTGGAATATACAAAGTAGGCAAATTGATGAATGTCAGTGATGGATGGAGGCAGAAGCATCAGCAAAATAGGTGCATTCACCAGCAGGCAGTGAAGGCAGGCAGGAAAATGCAATGTCTTTTCCCTTGGACCTCCTTGTATCTGGGCACCACAGAAGGTATGCTCTGGAGGAGGGTATTAGCGTCCTCAGTTAATCTGAGGCATATCTCTTAGTTGAAGTTAGTCAGAAACTTGATTTACAAGTCATTTTCACAGTGTCTTGTGGGAACGGGGTGCTACTGCCATGTAGAAGAAAGAAGTTAAGAATACTATTAAGTATCGTGCAATGCATTAGACCCCATAACAAGGTACTCAGCCCCAACTGGTAAAAGGAAATTGTGTTTCTGTTAAGAACTCCTGAACTAAGCAACATAATAGCTCCAAGAATGCCCAGAAAAATAAATTCCAACACTGTGTGTCTCTTGATTTAATTATTGCTATCCATGAAATCCTATTGCAGTAAAACTAGTAATATTGAATCCAATCAAGTTTCTAGATTGTATTAGTTACTTTGCTGTTGCTGTGATAGAAACACTGACCAAAGCAACTTATAGAAGAACTTATTTGAGCTTACAGTTCCCAGGGACAAAAGTTCACCGTTGGGGGGAGGCATGTCTGCAGAGGTGGCCGGCAGGGGATCGGAAGTTGGTTGTACATCCTCAACAGGCACAGGAAGCAAGAGAGCAGTGGAGATGTGGCAAGGTTTAAGCACTCTCTAAGCCCACCCCCAGTGATGTGCTTCCTCCAGCATAGCCACACCTTCCAAGACCTCCCAAAACAGCACCACCAACTGGGAAAAAATGTCCAAATACTTGGAGCCTATGGGGGACATTTTCATTCAAATCACCACATAGATTTAACATGAGACACAGGGTCTGAAGAGGATAAAATCATGTCTTTACTATGTCATTAAAAAGTCCAAACTGCACAGAGTATCCAACTGGAGAGACTTTGTAATTCTATCAAGAAAGTAATTTCAAATCTAAGAAAGAGGAATTAGGGCCAAAAAAAAAAAAAAAGAAAGAAAGAAAAAACACATTATGGTTTAAAAGATTTTCAGAAACAAAGTAGGTAATTGTCATGTATGAATCCTGTTGAGATTTTTATTTCAACAACTCTAATTTTTATATGTATTGTACTTTTAAAAAGATAAACCCCAAGTGACATTTTATGGTTAGTAATTATTCAACAAGATTTTTTCAAATACTTTACAGTGTTCAATTTTTAAATTTTTTTATATGTGTGAGTGTTTTGCCTATGTGTGTATAAGTGCACCCATGGGGTGCAATGCCCATAGAGATCAGAAAAGGGCATCAGATCCCCTGAAACTGGAGTTATGTATAGTGTTAGTTGCCGTGTGGTTGCAGGGATTCAAACCTGGATCTTCTGCAAAAAGTCAGTGCCCTTAACTGCTGAGCCATTTCTTGCCCCCAGTGTGTTCAAGTTTTTTTTGAAAAGTTCTATTAAATGACTTCATTGTTTAGAATACCATCATATCTTCTTGCTGAACCAACAGTACTTTCTTGCTTTCCATTGAGGAGGTCTTTCACAAGCATCTATGAATTAGCAACAGCTGTCATCTCAGGAAATCTAATTTATGGAAAATTTAATTTGCAGAAAAAAAAAACTTCAGAATCAAGCCCAATAAAATGAAAGAATTAAAAATAGAAAGCTAGCAGGTGAAATGTGAGTCTATACTACTTTTTAAAAATACACTTAACACAGTGCCAGTGGGGATGGGGATATACAGATAATTAAGATTGTTTTGAGATGTTCTGTATGAAATACACAAAAAATTCAATTGAAAAAATACACTTAATGCTTCCTGATAGAGGAAGATTTGGAGAACTCTTCATGAAAAGACCCCGAACAAGCTGAGGAGTTGTTTCAGAGGAAACATTATAGAATATTTGGTAGAAACAAGTCACACACACTGTAGCCACAGGACAAGCTGCAGAAGACTTGAGAGCACACATTCATGCATTTCCCTCCTTAGTGAGTCGTTTGTATTTATGTGTTCATGAATTTTATGGGTTCTCATCTTTCACCTCTTTTCTATACCATTGTATATAAAGTGTATCACAGTGTCAAAATTTCCAGTTTAATATACAATTTACAGAATTTTCAGACTGGGACATGACACAGCAGAAGAGTGAGTCCATAAAAGAATTCCAGCCTGTGAGGTGGTTTAATGTAAAATATCTTCTCTAGGACATGACTTGGCCTTTCTTGTTCTTGTAGTTCTACCATAGTTCAGGTTTCCCTAACGCTTCTGCATCATGACTGAGCGCCCCGTTTGATTCAAGCCTTGCCGCTAATCTTCTCTTGCACTATTTTTCCAGAGTAATAGTTCAAAAAGGCAAAATTGTGTGAGGTATGTTCCGACCAAAATCTTCACCAGCTCTTAAAGCTGTGAGAATAAAATTAGAAGACAATGTGGCATCCAACGGCCTGTGGGATCTGAAAATGCCTATTCATTACTTTGCCCTCAGCCACTGCTCTTCTGTGCTCTACAGTCAAGCTTCTAGCACATGTGGATGCAAATGCTCGAAACTATATATTCCCTGTCAGGGTTTCTTGTCATCTGGATGCTTGGTCCTCATGTTTCTAGTCTCAACCTAAGGGACTTTTCAAGCAAAGACTTCAGCCGTTGCCCACAATATCCTTACTCTCACTTGAAGCTGAACACAATGTTTTATAACTGTGCTTCATCTGTCATATCTACTATGCGTGGATATTCTCAGCAAGACTGTACCATATGACTGCTATGTCCAAGATCCACCAACATTCCATGAATATCACTTGAATTAGTGCAATAGACATTTAGCTTCAGGGAAGACTTGCCTGTCTCTCAAGATTCAAGGTTATATCACTATAATGTTATAATTCAAATATGAAATGAGCTTCAGATTAAACAGGTATCCATCTGTGTATAAACCCTCAGATTCTGTGATAATGTATTGGCAAATATAACAACTTAAAGTCATTGGTTATAAAAAAATAACCCAGAAAAAGAAAATTCTTAGTCCTTTAAGGAAGTAAGATGACCATCCACAATTACCTGCTTTCTGTTTGTTCTATTTCCCTATACCTGATCAAGTCATTTCTTTTTATTTATTTAGGCTTTTTATCACTGATGAAGTCACTGAGGGCTTGTTGTGGATGTGAGGGGAGGTAAGAAAAAGGCTTAACACACAGACGAAAGGGTGACATTAGCACAACCAATTGAACTATCTTGATTGCCCAAGCCCATTTCTGGCTGACGAGTCTGTCCTTCTAAGAGCAACTATGTCTAGGCTGGGCACGGTGATACACACCTTTATTCCCAGCACTCAGGAAACAGAGCTAGGCAGGTCTCTGTGACTTTGACGTTAGCCTGGTCTATACAGTGAGTTACAGATGAACCAGGGCACCAAAACTATATAGTGGGATGCAAAAAAAAAAAAAAAAAAAAAAAAAAAGCAACTATGTATTTAGCACTTTAAATATTATCTCATAATTTATGTGTTTCTATAATTCAAAGGTAAAGATTGCTGGTTTTTTAGAGAATGAACAACTTTGGTGTTTACATTAAAATCCCTTGTATATGAAGTAAAATCTCTTTCAAATTGTTTGAATGTTTCCAATTAATGACTGAAACAAAGGTTTTCTTGGAGAACAATTGCCTTATATATTCTATATGATCCTTATGAAAACATTTATTTGATCTTTCTTCAGTTTGTGTGGTTCACTCGTACAATGAGACATTACATCCACATCTAGTAGACGCTGCACAAAAACATTCTAATAAGCTTTGACAACTCTCCTCAGAATGTGAGCTCACTTAGAGCTGTGTGATTGCAGACTTGGCAGAATTCAAGTGAGTCTCCAGAAATCAATGTGAACTTTCTCTCCACTGGAATCATCACAGCCTTTTGTGAAATGTGTTGGTATAAATGCCTCTGGTTCATCACTTTAAAAACGTATTTTTCTCCACTTGTCATGTCACATATATGGAGATAGAACAAGAGGGGACTTTCATGAAATATCATGTACCTCCACTAAACATGCTGCTGAGACACAGAAATATCCCTGGCATCCCACACCTCAATGTAAACACTCAGCTTCCTACATAACATCATTATTACATATTAGCTCATCTACTTACTGATTGCCAGGCATCGTAGATTACTCCTGTCATTTCTGGTTGTGTGAACACCAAAGCAAAGCTCTGGTGTTCACTTTTCTAGTGGTGCTTGTGAGTCATCAAGTTGCCAGTTTTGATAAGAACCCAGAGAATTTCCCTAATAGTTTCTTCCAGGCCCCCTTTACCTCTTTATTCCTTAGACTATAGATCATCGGGTTCAGGAAGGGCGTTAAAACAGCATAGAAAAGACACATCACCTTCTCTTGAAGTACAGAGGGACTGGAGTGGGGCTGGATGTAGGTAAAAATGGCCATGCCATAGCACAGGATAACCATGGTAAGGTGAGAGGAACAAGTGTGGAAGGCTTTCCTTCTTCCCTCTGTGGACTGGATTTTCAGGATGGTGGAGATGATCTGGATGTAGGACAATAGAACCAGGAAAAAAGGTGTCATAAGCAGGACAATGCTAGAAGCCATGATAGCAATTTCGTTGGATGAAGTGTCCACACAGGCCAACCTGACCACAGCTAGAATCTCACAGGAAATGTGATCAATATACTTATTCGTGCACATGGGCAGCTGAAAGGTGATAGCAGTGTGCACAAGAGAGTTGATGGAGCCACCCACCCACGATGTGATGACCAGCCTTGTGCAGAGTCCTCCGTGCATGATGACTTTATACCTCAGAGGGTCACACACCGCCACATAGCGATCATAGGCCATCACTGCCAGAAGAAGGAATTCAATCCCACCCAAGCCCAGTGAAAAAAATAACTGGGCTGCACAACTCAGGAATGGAATGGCTTTATGAGCTGCAAGAAAGTGAGCCAGCAGCTGAGGGACTATGCTTGTGGCATAAGACACATCCACAAGGGACAGGTTGGTGAGAAAGAAATACATGGGAGTGTGGAGTCGGCTGTCCAGTCTGATCAGAAGAACGATGAGGAAGTTTCCCAATACTGTCACCAGGTACATCAGCAGGAACAGGACAAAGAGAGAGACTTGAGTGTCCCAGTCACTGGACAGGCCAAGGAGGATGAATTCAGGCACCCACGTCTGGTTGTCTAATTCCATTAAAAACTATGATCTGCAAAGAATATCAGGGAAAACAAGCAATTGAATAACCAGAGGGTAATGTTCTAAGATTACATAATGTAAGTGACCTGCCAACCTTTTAAAAATCTTTGCATCATTTATGAAGCCAGAAAACAGATTTGATCCCAATACATTTTTTATTTGTTCTGTTTCAGAGACACAAACCAGTATCTTAATAATGATATGTCATGCCTCATGAAAGTCAGCTACAGCCTAGAGACAAAACAGTTCAGTTTTTATAGCATATCTTTACCAATTACTTTAATTTCAAGCAAGGGAAATACAATATTATAGTTGATAATGGTTGGTAAAAGAATAGATTGTTAAGAAAAGAGTTGCAAAGTTTTAAAACCACCTGAGATATGTCAACTCCATTCGTCTTGATGAAATGAATGGATCAGCTTCAAAAAGTGATTATGAAACAGCGTAGGTTTCTAGAAAGATCTGACATCTAAGAACCTAGCTTTGAAATTTGATTTTATTTAGCAGGTTTATGGTTTCTGTTTAATGATGAGCTTTGCTATATAAGAGAATCTCACATTTGATACTTCCCAAATACTTTGAAGTGCAAATGTAAGTAGCTCATGGGAAAATACTTGGGTACTGTTCACTAACAGAATAGTTCAGTACTGTGGGGGTGAGGGATATATCAAGGCCTCTCTATTGGAGTACATAAAGAAGAAAACATGATTTCCCTTCCAATTTCTTCCAAAAAAAAAAGCATAAATGAATTGAAAGCGTTCAACAGAAAACTTCGGTCTGTTCGATGGACTTTATCCTCTTCTGTTCTTAGTGTTCTGAGGAGGACATCATGATGGCACCCATATTTTTGCAATTTCTTCTTTTTAACTTGCTGCTAATAATATGTTATCTGAAATATGCATCAAAGATAAAGTAAATAAAATGTGGAAGCTTAAACATCCTAGCTCACAGGGATAAAGGGAAAGTAGATGTTAGAAGCCATCTTCATTGTCCAGAACAGAAATAAGGTAGGAATCCTGCTCTGTTGGAACAGAAATTCCTTTCTCATTCCTTGTGCTCAGCAGGGGCTTTTTTCAGAAAAACTAATATGTCATGCTGCCAAACATCCAAAGCAAACAGTGACAATTTGTAGACATGTTTAGAACTGATTCCTTACGTCTGCTTGTTTGCTAACATCGTAATTTCTGAAGTGTGCAAAACAAGGGAAAATAGAAGCAGGAGAGGAAAGAAAGCAGAAGGTGTTGATCATTCCAGGGTCCCTGAGCTCAACGTGGAAAACTGCCACTCTCTGAACTCTCTTATCCAGAAAAGGATAAAACAAAGCAAGTGGTTCCAAAAGTGCCCAACTCGTCCAAGACACTGACACACATGAGCTTTTCCCTCAGCCAGTCTTCAACATCTATGAGATCAAAAAACTGCCTTCTCTTAGAAAGAAAAGTTTCTACACAATCCACCATCTAGCACTATTGTGTTACTTTCATCTTACAAATCATAGCAATTATTGCCATGGTTTATAGCATTTTACTAAAACAGGCTACACGTAGGTAGACGTGGTTAGCTGATGTAGTCACAGGTTACTTTTATCCAGTTCAGATTATTAGTCTCTTTGCAAATCTATTGCCTAATTTCAGTTTTTTATTTTTCTTATTTTGAGTTTTTGGATTGTCTTGCCACGTAGCTTGCAAGCCTCAAACCTACTATCCTTCTTTCTCAGTCTTCTGAAGGCTAGCATATGACTTCATTCCCAGATCAAAGTATTAATTTTTTAAAGATAAGTTCTGTAGCCCAGGCTGACTTTAAACTATCTGTGTAGCCCAGGATGACCTTAAACTTTTTATCCTTCTGCTCTACCTCCCAAGTGCTGAGATTACAGAGTGTGTCATTACACCTGTTTTATGTGATGCTGAAATTCTAATCCAGGGTTTCACGTATACTTGACAAGCATTCTACAAACTAAGCTACATCTTCAGACATGAACTATTTAGTTAAACACTTTTTCTGTACTTTTAGATTCTCTTTATGAACTCCATAATAAAAATGGGAATAGCATGTCCATTTGAAAGTCAGATGAAGGAGAAAAGATAGGTTTTCCAGATGAATTTAGCAACATGTCCGTCAATACAATCTTGGTATTGCATTGGGTTAACTCAATTGGGTTAATTGAGATTTTTATTCTCATTTCATGGTGAGGAGATGTGTGACATGTAAAGCAATTCATGTGTAACTTTTCCTATAAGGATGAAAGAACTTGGTCTTTTCAACTGTAATTAATCTATAGGTTCAATAGCTTTCCTTATACCTCCATTTTTGTTGAAGCCAAGTAACTAAGGGAAATTTTTGAGTGTCTTTATTCAATTTTCTAGACAAAAAAGAAAACAAAAATGTCTTGACAGAGGGCTAAGTGTGTGATCGGTATTCAGAACAAGTGTTAGTGGCAAGAGTCTAGGTCACCCTCCTGTACAAGGGTGACTTGGGTGGTTTCTTGGGATTTCTCAAATTGGAAATATATCACTTGTTTGTCATAAATCTAGATTATACATAACAAACAATAAAATCTTGTTTCATTTTCTTTTGGTTACATCATCTTCAGCATCAACAAACCTCCATGCATGCCTCTCTGCTCACATATTTTCAAAGAAGACTCTAACCCTGTGGCTGATCCCTGGACAGAAGCACTGGAAGGGGGAAACCTCTAGTTTGTGTTTTATGAATGGTGATGAAAATAGAGTACACACTGTGGCCATAAATAAAATACAACATATGAGAATGTAACTGCATATAATCAAAATATGCCATGGAATCACATCTAACAAAGTTGGCCCAGTATCTGAAATGTATGTGCATGTGGAGCACTGTTCCTTCACTGAAGTGTTTAAAACTAAAATGCGAGGTTTCTTCTTGTTCATTCTGCACCTCATGTATGTAGTATCTTCAGCAACAGGGTGTTACCATCAAGTTCTGGTATTTAACCAAGAACAGGGGCAATGACCAGTGTTGTTTAAGGGTCTGTGGGACCCTTGGTCAACAACCTCAATCCCTGGCATTGGGCTTTTACTTCTCTAGCTATGGTGTCTAGTAGGGTCAAGGTCCCATGTTATGAGGTGATTCTTTTTAATCTCCCTTTATGACGCATGCATATATTTTTTAAAGAAGCTTCTATAGTGGTGAGTTTCCATATGGATTTTCTAAAGGCCTTTAGTGTTAGTTGTCCCTCCACAGACCCCATACACTCTTCCCTGCCCTTTCCTCCTATTCCCCACCCCAATGAACCCTCTGCACTCCATTATTCCCCTTTCCTTTCTTATATCACTGCATTCTACCCCCCTTCCCATGTAGCACCCCCCAACCCCCGGGTAATTTGTTTCCTGACATCTATTTATTTTCCAATTGAAAAATGCATATCTAAGAATTCAAAGCTAGCATTCAGCTATGAGAGACAAAATGTGATGTTAGTCTTTCTGGGTCTGAGTTACTTCATCCAGGATGATTATTTCAAGTTCCATCTATTTACCTGAGAATTTCACAATTTTTGCTTTTGATTGTGAAAAGGGCAGCAATGAACATGGATGAACAAGGACTCTATTGCTGAAGACACCATGTCTTAGTTTGTTCTTCATTGCTGTGACAAAACACTCTGACCAGTACCAACTTGGGGAGGAAAGGGTTTATTTGTCTTACATCTCCCAGGTCGCACACAGTTCATCAGGGAGCCCAAGGTAGGAACTCAGGGCAGGAACCTGGAGGCAGGAGCTGGAGCACAGGCCATGGAGGAACGCTGCTTACAGGCTTGCTCCTTTGGCCCCTGCTCAGCCTGCTTTCTTATGCAACACAGGCCCACCTGCCCAGGGGTGGCACCAGCCACAGTGGGCTGGGCCCTCCCACATCACTCATCAAGAAGATGCCCCTCAGACATGGCCACAGGCCAGTCCAATAGAGGCAATTCCCCGACTGAGGCTCCCTCAACCCAGGTGTGTCAAGTTGACACTAAAGCTATCCATCACACACCACATACATAAGCCATAGAAAAAACATGGAGAAATCAAGCTGACGTACTTCAAAGCTTCATTTCTGCTGACTAATTTTCATAGAGCAGTGAAGTGCTATGCGCGTTACTTGAAAAAAAAAGTCATTAACCTTAACCCAGCTGTGAATCCCGTAAGCTTCACCAACAGCTAACCTGGCAAGATATGACCTCTGGTGCAATAGTGGCAGGAATGTTATGGGGATAACCACTCACCTTCTAATTGGATTTAAGGTCTGCTTCATCCAGTGGATACTATGCCTGACATTGAGATCAGGCCTAGGAACCTGTGGCTAGACAGTCCATAGGGCACAGGACATAGGGGAGAGCCCGATACTATTACTTTGAGAAATGGATATAATATTAAAGCAACCCCTAGTGATTTATTGTCATAACCATAGATTGATGCATTCTCAACTCTTCCTTGAGAAGCTTCCTTATGCAGCAGATGACAATAACACAGAAACACACAACTGGCCAACATGCAGAGAACAAGAGACTACAAAGTGATTATCCCTCAATAGAATACTTCTATCAAACTTCTGCCTCCAAGAGTTCGTGGATCATTTAGGAAGATTGTAAGAGCCAGAGGTGGTGGATGATCACAAGGAAATGGAGTTTTCCAGGCAGCTGGGAAGTTATTCATATGAACTCACAGCAATGGTGATAGTATGTACAAGTTCCCCCATAAGTTCAAGTCAGATAAAATCTCAGCATAGACATGGGGAAGTGGGTGAGAAATCCTAACCCCACCTTAGAAACTCTTGAAAAAGGATGGCTGCTGGGAAGGGGAGAATCAGTCTCTCTTAAAGCTATGACTCTTGGTAGACTAGCCAGATTCCAGCAGATGAATTCACACTGGAGAACATTTGGAGACACAAATTTAACTCTGTCTTCCTTAATATATATAATAGCATATATGAAATTTGGTTGGAGTAAAGAGGATGCAGATAGGGGAGGTGATCTAAATATGATC